TTATGATGACAGGCTGAGAGCCATGGGGCTCCTTAGCCTGGAAAAGCGCAGGCTCAGGGGTGATCTGATGGCCACCTATAAGTTTATCAGGGGTGACCACCAGGATCTGGGGGAATGTTTGTTCACCAGAGTGCCCCAAGAGATGATGAGGTTGAATGGTTATAAACCACTGCAAGATGGTTTCAGACTGGACATAAGGAAGAATTTCTTTACTGTCCAAGCCCCCAAGGTCTGTAATAGCCTGCCATCGGAGGTGGTTCAAGCACCTACATTGAACACCTTCAAGAGTAAATTGGATGTTTATCTTGCTGGGATCCTATGACCCCCGCTGACTTCCTGCCCTTCGGGCGGGGGGCTAGACTCAATGATCTTCTGATGTCCCTTGCAGCCCTAATATCTATGAAATCTATGTCTATGAAATCTCAGTGGATGTGCAGTTTCTCAGAGAACCTCTGATATTCTGCAGAAAGGGGAGGGCAACTTTTCCGTCCTTTCTGCAGCATAACAACCTGGGGGAAAAAGTCTCTGACCTCACAGAAGTTTCTCTCTCCCCATTTTACCCCACCCTGATCCTTATCTTTGATGCAAGTCCCTGAAATGCTATACTGATTGCCACACAAAACCAATTTATGCTTTGTGCATGTGTGGAAGAGGTTAAGTGAACTACTGCTGAATCAATCCAGATTCCCCTGTTGTTAAGCATTACTACAAATTGCTTACAAGACAGGCCTCACCTCCGTAATCACTATTAATAGCTGCTGTAGCTAATATCATTTTTTATATTCTTTTCTCTCAGTAATAGCCCCTTGAGGAGGCAAAGTAACTCAGGAAATTTTACTGTGGGGCTTGTACCAGACATTAGTATTTCATTTCTTAGCTGTGGCACTTGTTCCACAGTCAGTGTGCAAGAAAAATGCCTTACTGCCTTAAGCAGGGAAATGTAGGAAGGTGTAGACAATAAAAGATGATTTTTCAGAGCCAAATATTGGAGAAAATAATAAAATAATAAAATTGGAGTAATCCCCACACACAGATACACAGTTAATATGAAGTCCCTTTGGAGTGAGAAATGTCCTAACTCAGATTTTCATTTAGCATCTATGATCAAGACATTCCAGCTCAATATAATATATGGACTCATTAAATTACAGGTCATGGTAATCTTAGTGAGAATTTATGGAGTGCTAATGTAATACTTTCATTGAGGCAAAGAGATTGCATTGACTTGTGGAAGGGACTTTTACTTGATTGGATTGTAATCAGTTATGTCTTTGCCATGAAGGTTTGGGTTGGTTTTTTTTAATCCAGTTGTAATCTACTGGTTTCTCTGGGTCAATGCACTTTGTCATTTTATTAATCATTCCCTCCCAAACTCTAAATCAAGTCCTTTCCTGGTGGTCCACAGCTGGCAACTTCTAGGGTCCATTTTATGAGCAACAAAACACTTCAGTTCTAATTTGGGAAGGGGTTTACATCAAGGTCTTCTCCCACAGCAAAACACTTGTGTGTGAAGAAGGGGAAGAAACAGAGGAAGGGTTGTACTTTGCCAGAGAATAATCACGGATACTTCCAAATATAAATAATAAGAGAGACTGAGAGTGTCATATGTGGCATCCAGATGAAATTAGCATGAACTAGAGGCCAGATTGGCACCAAATGAAACACCCAGAGCTAAACCCTGCTCCCCTGGAACACTTGAGCTGCTCTGATTGACTTCAGTCAGACAATGAGATAAGAGCAAAGTGAACAGCATGCATGAGTAGTCACCCAACTACTGCTTTGTTGCTTCCAGGTCATTGGCTCAGGAGCAGTTTATTGGGATGGTAGTCAAAACTATCCATTTGTCTGCTTGAAATGAGTTACAGGACCCAGAGGATTCCCTAGTGGATTTTCTCGTGGTAGATGGGGATCCATCTCTGCATTTGGCACTAACCAGTAGTGGAGTGGGGCGGGGGGGAACAAACATTTCACGAGACATGAAAACTTTGTCACTCTGAGGGTATTGCCTACTCTGCAGATGCACCTGACCAGGCTACACTTGGTACTACCAGCCAGAGGCGTAACAGGGCAGCTCTGTGCCATGGGTATCAGTGGTGCATGGGGCAGCACAGGCTGCCATGTTGCCTGTGGCAGTGGCAGTGGCCTACCCTACTTCTTCTATCACACAAGCTGTGGTAGCACAGAGTTTAATGTGGACTGCAAAACCTGCTGAGGATAGACAACTGTGGATGTGGTTAACCCATGCTGTGTTCCCATGGCTGCATTGCTAGCGTTCCTGAGCTAGCTGGTTTAAAGCTAGCTTAGCTAGGTTTACATGAGCTGCAGTCATGTCTTTGCATGCAGCATAGACATACTCTATCAGGAATATGAATTAGACCAGGACTAGCCATACTCTAGTCAGGAGCGAAGCATGCAAGCAGCATGGTCTACTGAATAGGATGCTGGACATGGAAACTTGGGTTTTATTCCTGACTTTGCCACTGTAAGTCCTATCAGCCGTAAGTGTCTCTATTTCTCCATTTGTACAATGCAGGCGGTATCTTCTGTTGTAAAGCCCACTGAAATCTATGGGACAGATCCTGCAGCTGTTGCTCTCTGCTGGGCACTTTTTAAAATTGACTGAATTCACTTCAAAATTATTCAATTAAAAAAGAAGCAAATGACTTTGGCCAATAGCAATAGCAGAGCCAAGGGTAGGATTCTCCACCAATAGTTTTGTCATTTTTGGTTCATATTAATTTTGCTGGAAGCTGGATTGGATAATTCATATGCAAATATTGAGGAGAAAGCAATGTGAGGCTTTTGTAGCTGATGAGCTTAGTTTAGCGTGTACAACAACATGGAGACTCCTGATGTACAGATGGATATGGAAGGTTTCCACATCTGGTGATACAAGGTGGATGTTACATCTGCATGATTCTGTAGGGATACAAGCCTAGGAAGACTTTAACCCCTTTCATTTAGGGATAAAGTTAGGATGATTTCGCTCATATGTTTATCTACAGGACCATGCCCAGGTATGTGTTGCACCATAACAACTGATTCCTGCTCCCAGTTGGCAGCTCCCCATCCCCCTTTGAATTAAGTAAAAAGTATGTTTGTCCATCCCCCTAATCTGAACTCAGATTTGCTCTTCTGTCTGCAGACAAACCATGTTATACAGAAAGTCTGCATTGGAGAAAATAATGTGATTGAAGATGAGATTCGGGTGAACAAGAGTGTCAGTGAATGGGCAGGAGGAGGTGGAGGTGGTGGAGGAGCAACTTACATATTTAAGGTATGGGAGCACAACCATTATAGTTTATTCTATAAATGTAGTGCATGCTGCTACAGCCTTCACTATGAAAGCACTCCACTGTTTATTAAGAGTCCCTTCCATCTCATCTTGGAACAACAAAAGTGCTGTCGGCCTGATTCCTGTTCCCATTTGGAGGCTGTAAAGGAGCCTTAAAGTGAACTTTGATCAAACTTATATATACAGTGCATGGCTGTGCATTCAGAGAGAACTTGTTCCACTGAAATGAGAGGCTGTTCACACTTAGAGCTTTGCTAAGACTGTCTTCCAATACAGACAGGGCCACTTCACTTCACACTGCTCACATGTAAAAGGTTCTCTGCATAACTGTAAGGGCTTATGCTACTTGTTTTAAATGAAAGCCACAATTCTGGAGTCTTATTCCTGCCACAGGTGCAAACCCCACAGCATTTTTTGCAGCTGTGGAATTGCAGACTAGATAGAGCCCTGGCTGTAGCCTTTGAATTCTGTGGTGGAACATTTAGGATCAACTTTTTCTGTCTGCTGTAGGCACAACCTATATCCAAAATCCAGTGAGCTGTATCACAGGTCACTCATATTGTGATAAAGGCTGGCTAAGTCTATCAACATGCATTTAAAACCACGGCTTCTGGTGTTCTCAGTATGCTTCAAATCAGCATGCATTGTGTAACAGTAAATCTGCACAATCAAGTGTGCCCAGTATGGTATATGTGACTCCTGGCACCACTGTGCTCTACTGCACAGAGCAGCACACCATAGAGCAATGCACTCCATCATAGAAAAACATTACATGCTTTACAAGAGCCATCAGCACTGGGGTGTACAATACATAAGGCTGTTGATTCTGCTGTTTTCCATTACAGTACGTAGTGGGACCAGGGCATTCATTAATCTTTAGGAGGCAGATACATAAATAATGCAATGGTAATTTGGACTGCTGAGCAGTCCTGGGGGCTTGCTCAGTACATAGCAGTAACTAGCCTGTGGGATGAACTTTTATTTGCATGTCTGACAGCCTAAACCCCAGCTTCATTTCTCAATTAAGATGGAGAATGGAGAGCCAGTTCCCTTGCTAATAGCGGCAGGAGGTGGTGGCAGGGCTTACAGGGCCAAAACAGACACGTTTCATCCAGAAAGGCTGGAGAATGATTCTTCAGTTCCAGGTCTGAATGGAAATTCAGGAGCTGCAGGTAAGGAAGGTTTACTTTGTTCAGAAAATGCTTGCCAGGCAAATGTGAGATTCTCCCAAGCTACAGCCACCATAGGGATGAAATTTCTAGTGGACACTTCATGAAAATTGTGCTGGCAGTCCTCTAGCGCAGCCACTTAACAGCCTTCCCCTGGCTGAGGCAGGCATCAGCTTAATGTACCCACCCCAAAGACACCAAAGACCAAGCAAGCCCTTCCATGAGGGTCAAAGCATTGTTGCATGAATTGTCTGTAGAACTGGATGGCAAGCAGTTTTTCTGTAGCACAAAAAATGTGTGTGATTTCCACATCAGGACAAAGCTGAGACCTTTCAAATTCTTTTTGCAGCAAAAATGATTCAGATTAAATCTTCCAAAGCCCTAGTCCCTCCACTCCAGATAAAGATGATTGTGTGGGCACGTCTGCCCAAACCAGTGCAGTATAGGGCTACCCAGTCTATCTCTGACCAAGAAGCATGGTAAATTGGCCCTCACAGAGATCAATGCTATACTGCCTTTGGCATCTGAGCTACATGAACTGTGCAGTGCATATGTATTCTCCATTAATTGTCACCCATCTGCCAACCAGAGCTGTACATCCAATGGAGGGCAACAGCACGTTGCACTGTGAGCTGGCTAAGCACTATCAGCCAAAACTTTTTTTTGAAGAAAAATGATCTTTGTCATGAAAAAAACATCATTTCTTTAAAAAATGTTCTGGTTTTATGAAAAAATAATTAAATGACATTTCCTTTTCAAAAACCCAAAAAGATTGGTGTCTGGTTTCTCTTGAAAAGCAGGAAATGGTCTAAAAATTCCCCAAATTTTTCATAGACAATACTTATTTTATGTCCTGGTTTTGTTACCATGTTGTTCTCTTCACAGACAAGTGAAAAAAGGCAGAGAGCCCCTGTGGTAAAAAGTCAGGCAGCACATTAGTGGCAGAACTTTGAATAGCACCCAGGAATCCTGATTCCCGTCCCCAGCTTTAATGGCACTATATGATGGTCTACCTGGTGCTGCAGGATTTTGAATGAGTATTCACTCTGCTGATGTATATGTTTTCCAGATGTAACAGAAACACAGCTGGGTTGTTTTCTTTCCTCTTAACTGCAGGTGGTGGAGGTGGCTGGAATGATAACACTTCCTTCCTGTGGTCAGGAAAGTCCTTGCTGGAAGGTGCTACTGGAGGAAGATCCTGCCCCCAGGCCACGAAGAAGTGGGGGTGGGAGACAAGAGGGGGTTTCGGAGGGGGTGGAGGGGGGTGCTCCTCAGGTGGAGGAGGCGGAGGATATATAGGTAAAGTGGCTTCCTGTTCAAGGTGTCCCTTCCCCTCCTTTAGTGATCAGAAATTCTCTTATCACTGGTATATGTTTAATAGGATGTTGATGTGTTGCCTCTAGCTCTGTGTGAATATATATGTATTTAGCTTTTTAAGCAAATAGCCAGAAGTCAGTTCTTCAGCTGGAATCTTGGCTTTGCAGTCTGGAAATGACACCATCAAGATCCTGCCGTGGTTCTTGAATTGTGATAAAAAGCCAAGCCCTTTCACTCTTGGTTGGGATGGTGAAAAAGTATTAGCCATCAGCTTTGCAGTCATGTTGTCTGCACCTGCCCTTGGGAGCCTTTGCCATGGAGGCTGGCAAGCAGGCTGTACACCTAAGAGAGTCAGCATGCAGAGTGGCAATGCAAACTTCCTCTGCCCTATCCTACTGCCAGCATGCCTCATCCCTGGACGGATAACCCCCAGGGGCAAGGCAGGCAGCTCAGCCTCCATCATCCAGTTCTCAGGCCCTATGCTTAGACTGCCAACAAGGAGGCCGATTATAATAACTCTGGTGATGGTTTTAGTTTACAATGAACTTAACTGAGGTCACTAATCCATGGCCAGTAGGCCTCAGGGCAGCCAGTGACACCAAGTTACTACTGCACAGCTTGTTTCAAGCTGCAGTGAAAGGCACCACAATCCCTTCATAAGCCCTCCTGGGCAACCCTGCATCTTGAGTCCTAACCCATAGTTAGCGATAACCCAAATGGCTTGAAATCAAGGCCAGGGTAGACTGGAAACCCCAAAGGGAAGCAGTTAGTCTGAATACCTAGCTTGACCCCATGTACTGTGATGATGATGTTATGCATAACAGTTTTTTTCCCCAACAGAATGCATCACACAGGAGAATGTGTTTTTTTGCATTATGCTTTTTCTCCTCTGCCAAGGATAATGAAAGGGGACAGCAACCCCCTCTTTATTGTGCATGGCGAGGAGAAGAAGGGGGTCTATGCATGCTACCTGACCTACCCTCTGATTGTCCAAGGCATGCCTGGACATCTCCCATGCAAACTCCTTCTGTCCCCCATTCTTGGTGGACCACCCTGGCCAAAGG